AAGGAACCTTCCAGGTGGGGATGTCAATTACACAGCGCCCTGATGGTTATACAATTGCAGGGTCTGGACAGAGGGGCTTGGGGGGCGTCACAGTTTCGATACATTGTTTAAAGATCAGGTAAATAGGACATTTCCCAGCTTTTGGAACAAACAAGCAGGGGCACAAGGAAAACAGTTACAGTGACTGAGTGGGGACATCGCTGTGGAACCCTCAACAGTAAGGAGTCCCAGATCCCATTTCCTCTGGGACACAGCAATAAGCAAGTTTACAGAAGCCAGAATGAGCAGTTTCAGACATCAGACAGGGACTTTGCAAACCCTGCTTTTGTTCTCCTGTGGTCTTACAAGGAAGGCCAAATGATTTACAAGGACTGTGTTACTTACAAGAACTGGGAGTAGGGGAGAATTCAGCTCAGGGTTACTTCCTTAAGATGGAATTTCCAAAATGGAGCCTCTCTGGCCAGCACATGGGTCTACATCGCTGGACGCTCAAGATGCACCAGCCCTCAGCCGTGCACTCAGATTAGCCCTTCTTATCTTCCCAACAGTCCCATGAGTGGGTGTCACAGATGGGGAAACTGAGACTTGGAGAAGTCACAAAGCAGGGCTGGTACTCAGCTGGGATCGTGCATTGATCAAACAGCCTTCTAGCTATGTGCTTTCAACAACTCCACTGCACTGCTGGGCTCAGGAGGACAGCTGGAGGCTTCCCAAATGGACAAGAAAGGGAAGACATTCCGAATAGAGCCAAGAGTCAATTCTGGGCATCTCTACACTACCCCAGGACTCAGCCCTGCAGGGCACAGAGTAGGTCTAAATGATAAGACACAACAGGTCAAGATACTGGAGCATACAGCTGGTATAGTTACTGAGCACACAGTAGGCCTAGATGCCAGGGCACATAGTAGGTATAAATAGCAGGGCACAGAGTAGGCTTAGATGCCTGGGCATATAGTACATTTGATACCGGGACACACAGTAGGTCCAGATGCGAGACAAACAGTAGGTCTAAGTCCATGAGCTGATGTGACCATTCTGGTTGCACACCCTGCAGAAGCTACAGCGTCCAGCTCTTGCGCAGCCTTACCTAGATGAGGCACGCAGGCCAGCAGAGACAGTTAAGGCTCCAGTGCCTCCTGTGCCTGGCTTTTCAAAAACACAATTACTCGCCCTTCAGAGACGCCATCAGTGTTGGTAAACTCCCACCGCTAAACTGCATCGCACTGATCTGCGCAGAGACTCTGCGGTTATTAATAGTTTATTGATCTCTGCCCATCGCTGATGAGACCGGCCTCCTCCCGCCCCCTCGGGTCCCTCCTGCTGCCTGTGAAGGCCTTCTACCCAGCCTGTGGATCAATGCAGCTCAGTGCTGGGGGCGGGAGAGGCTCTGAGCAGCTTAATCCACTTCTGGAGGACAACAGTGGAGACAAAATCTTGGGGTTTGATGAAGGAGAAGAGGTGGATAGGTCTGGATCAAAGCTGTGACCTGGCAGCTTTGGATCAGAGATGAAAAACAGTACGCTCCTGGGTTGAAAACCGGGCTGTGCCCAGAATCGAGAGATGCTAAGATAGGAATGAGTGAAGGGGCAGACAGAAATTCTCTTATCTTGGCTACTTTTCTATGATTTAAGATTATCCAAAATAAAAATGTTATCTTATAGGGCAGGAGACGTGGCAGCTTGTAGGAGGAAGAGATAGAGGTGCTGGGGCTAGAGGAAGGGGAGGGAGTGGGGATGAGGTGGCTGAGGAGGCTGAGCCACTCAATGCACCAGGATGGACAGCCTGGTCTATCCCAAGAGCAGAGGGAAGCCTTAGAGGGGACTGAGGTTGGGGTGGCCCCAGTCTGGAGTCTTCCCTGAGAAGGTTCAGAGGGGGTTAGAATGTACCCAAACCCCACTAAACCCTCAGCTCTGCTACACATAAGACATGGTAGTGCATTGAAGAAGGGGGAATGGCAAAGTTCAGGACCTATAAGGAGGTGGACACCCAGGACCTGGCCACTCACTGTCTTGGAGTATGAAACCCAGAGCTGTCAAGTGCATGATAAGGGTTAATGACCCAGGCAGGGCCATGTGTGGAACCTGGAGCTGGGCGAGGAAGACCATGTGGAATTGTGGAAACAGTCGCAGGTGGGAAGCTGTCTTCTTTTTTTTTTTTTCGTCTTTTTAAGACAGGGTCTCCCTGTAGCCCCAGCTGTCCTGGAACTCACTATGTAGACCAGGCTGGCCTTGAACTCACAGAGATCTGCCTGCCTCTGCCTCCCGAGTGCTGGGATTAAAGGCGTGCGCCACCACACCTGGCTAGCTATCTTCTTTTTAAAGCACCAATCCAGGTGTCCCCTGGGCTGTCTTCTACACCACCTGTGTAGTGTCACGTGTGCATCACCTGAGCATATCGCTTATGCTGCTGTTCCCTGAGGGTGTCATCAGCAGAGCAATTCCCAAGCATGTCCCCTGTGCCAGAATCGCATAAACACTGCACAGCTCACCCACGGGGAGATCACCTGCAAACTCCGCCTGATGTCAGCCATGCCCTTCTTATCTGGTGATATCACCTGGGAGCCACCACGGGCCACATCCACCCCCTGAGCCTGTATCTTTACACAGCATGGTCACCTGTCTAATAGACACCTGTGAGGATAGCCTAGACATGTCACTTGAGGTGGCTGTCACTCAGCTAAGATGCCCAGAACGCATACTGCTATTTTCAGCCTAGCTGAGTTACAAAGAAAATTGTTCCCAGGGGAGACAGGTGCCACAATGCTCCCACTGTCACCATGCTTTCTTCTGGGAGAGTGAGTGGGGGTGGTGGCATCTTTTACACAGTTCCCCACCGCCACCACAAAAAGGGCGCTCCCCACACTTCAGTCCTTCCTGACAGTGGGGAGACCAGATGTTAACCTCTGTGTAGTCTATGGAAATGAGAGTGTTGTTTATGCTAATGGGTGCTGTGCAGCGGAGGAGGGGGTGCTAGGCGAGCTGGCTCAGCTCAATGTGACAACAGCTTGGGAAGAGGCTGAGTGCCCAGGTGGAGGGGGCGACAAGACGGAGGGGGCACCAGTGAGTCATAAGCAAAAGGAATTGAGATAGGCCAGAACCTGAGGTTAAACTGCTCAGTGGAAATAGATGGCTCCTAGAGTAGATGAGGGGTGTGTGGTGGGGTGGGGGGAAGAACTGCATGAAAGAATCTGCCCAGCACAGGGGTGGCAGGGCCTGGGCATACACCCAAGAAGAACCTTGAGCTGACACTGGCCCCTCTGTCCCCTACAGACTGTGGCAGGACTTCTAGGCTAATTAGGTGAGGAAGGTGGGTGAACTGACACACACAAACACAGGTCCTCTTAAGACAGGCCTGGCACGGGCAGGAACTTGTTGAAGAACATGAATTTTCCCAGTGCAGCTCCAGACTGAGGTTCCTGCTGATCAAAGTGCCCAGATACCTCTTAGCAGAAATTCTTTGCCCACGGGACATCACAGGGTCACCCTATGGCCTCTGTGCAGGTGGATGCAGTTCTCCTAAGTGTTTATTGAAAGCCATCTTCCCTGACACCTGGAATGTGTCACCTTAGTTACTCAGATAGGAATACAGGCAATCAAAAGCAGGACTCCCCCAAGTCCCACGGGCTCCGCATAGGGGGTAGAGTTTGAAGGCGGTTCTCACCAGCATGTCAGAGCCCTCTGCAGTACAGAAGGCAGGAAGAGCTGCCCTAACTGTACTGTTAACAGGAGAGAGAAAAACGTACTGACTCATCTTTGCATGACCTGACCCTGAAGACCCTGTAGAAAGACCTAGAACAGGAGTCATCAGACTACCACCTGGTGAACAGGAAGTGTTTTAATAATTTTAGATAGTTGGAGGAAAGGAAAGGCAGAACTTCATTCTGTGACACAAGACTGTTCTACGCAGCGCAAAGCTTGATGGTGGCAAGTTTTATTGGGATCTCACATGCTTTTTGGTTGGCATACTGTCTTCGGTTGTCTTTGTGCTATACAGCAGCACTGAAAGTTACAACAGAGAGAGGCTTTAAAGACTTATTTTGAACATTTTTAAATTATTTGTGTGTGTGTGTGTGTGTGTGTGTGTGTGTGTGTGTGTGCATGGGTATGGAATCCAGAGGCCAACCTTAGGTGCTGTTCCCCAGGATGGAGGCCAGAGGCATCAGATGCCCCTGGATCTGAACCAAACTCAGTTCCTCTGCAAGAACAGTACAGATTCATAACCATCTCTCCAGCCCCAAGACCAAGGTTAAAGGGGAACAAAGCTGTAATATTTGCTCTCTACCCTTTCCAAAGAAAAGGCAAGAGGGAGTTTGAGGGGACTCTCCCACCCCCATAGGTCTGTGGACATCAGGGGCAGAGCTGCTGCCCCTCAGCCCGGACTCTGTTGAGCGCACACTTTGTAACATAGGTGTGGCACACTGGTCATCTTCCCTGTGTCCCTGTCCACCAGGGTGGGGGTTCCCTGGGGACAGAAATGTCTGTGTGTAAAGGATGAGGAGTGAAGCAGCTGCTTGGCAGAGCGAAGCCAAGTTCCCACCCTGGCTCATCTTAGTCATACATGGTGGGACCATCTCGTGCCTCAATTTCTGTGTTGATGGAATGCTATGATCAGTCCCACACTGTGATGGTTGTAAGGAATGAGTGAAGACAGGCCTCATACTGGTGGTACCAAAGCACAGCCTGTCTTCACCGGTATCGCCCTTAGTACATCAGGCAAGTGAGCGTGTTACTGGCCGGCAGCTAAGTTGCTGCTCCAGGGGCCCCTGAGGCACAGATTTGCTGCCAGCTGAACATAGCCCTCACTGTTGTTCTCTGTAGCATCAAGATACAGGGCCTGCATACAGTGGGTACTGCATAAATGCTTTCCTTCCTCCCAGTCTGGTCCTTGGGTCTGCGGTATTTTTATGGAGGCTTGATAAGTGGGTGCTGGATTAGCCTCCTAGAATATTACCCACTCAGCCCTATGATGTCAGGCTCACCCTTCCCTCTGCCTCCCCCCAGGCTGCCTGAGGTCCGGATCTCAGACAACGGTCCCTATGAGTGCCACGTGGGTATTTACGACCGTGCCACCCGGGAGAAAGTGGTCCTCGCCTCGGGCAACATCTTCCTCGATGTCATGGGTGAGTCAGGAAGGCACGGTGTCGGGGTGTGAGCATGTTCATGGAAACTGTTCTTAACCTTGTCAAACCTTGGAGGCAGATTTAGGGAATTCCGTCCTATCTGCTGCCCTCACCTGGGAAGAGGGAAAGGCCATAGCAGGCTGATCTGTGACTGTGGGGCTGAGCCCCAAGGGCCTCCTCTTTGAAAAGGACCCAAAGGCTGTGCCTCGTCCCTGATGCTCACCCACAGTGATCACTGTTCCAAGCACATGAACAGACTCCATGTTGATTGGATCAAAGGGGTCACTGAGGGAGGAATGATTGGTCCCTGGGGAAAGCATTTGTCAGTCTCTGAGCCTCAGTTTCCACATCTAGAAAGTGGATGAGGGATGCCAGTTTCATGAGCCACCCAGCTCTAAGCCCTGTGGCATGGTGAGGCCGAGCAGAGGAGACACCCAAGCCCTGCTGTTTTCCCCATCTGAGCCCAAGGGCTCATCAGAAGCCCCCACGGAGCAGGTGCTGCTGGGTTCTTCTACAGGGGAGAACCTCCCAGAAGCCTCTGGGTAGAAGAGCCAGAAACTTCCAAGGTGACACCAGCTGCTGCAGGGACAACTCTGCCCTTCCCCGAGAGCCCCCTCATTGTCCCTCCCGAGGCCCTTTCGGGAGGTGTTTAAGGGAGTTAGAGAGCATGCCTGGCTAAGCATGGGTTCTCTCTCCTGGGTTCTCTCCCTGGCTCCGCGCCTCCATTCATGCATCTGTCTAGCAATACCAGTGCCTTTTTCCAGCTGGTGTGTCCTTGGCCCGGTAAACCCCCACCCAGCCTCAGTTTCCCCATAGGAGACACAAAGGCTTTGCTCTGAACGGTCTCAGGGATGTTCCTGCCAGATGTGGTGTCATTCTGTCACTGTTCCTCAGCAAGAGTGCTGGGGTTTGACCTGAACCTGGCCTCGTGTTCTCTGATTTTCTTATGAAATAATATTTATCAGGGCAACAAAGCCTGCTATACTCAGGCAATCAATGAGAGCACAAAGGCCCCACGGAAAGTCCTCGATCTGGGGAAATTGAAAATCTCCAAAGGCCAGCCCTCCAGATCGACATTGATCCTACTCAGTGGAGGAGCTGAGATGTGAGGGGGTGGACATTGCCAGGCAGACTGGTCAGCTCCTCTGGCTGTTGGAGCATGCTCAGTGCTCAGCCCCGTGCTGGCTGCCTGAGGAAACACAGCAAGGAACACAACTCCGTCTGTACAGTTGTGAGGCTCCCAGTCTGGTGAGCAAGAGGCAGGCCCCACCGTTTATTTATTCATCAGACATTTATGGAACACCTGCTCTGGACCAGGTCACGGGTGCAACTTTGAGTAGGACAAAGTTCCAGTCATTGGTGAGTTTGTACTCTGGGGCAAGAGCCAGGCCTAAGACACATATGCAGACAGGTGGTCTGCGGGTAGGAAAGAAGGGCAGGGTGATGGTAAAGAGTATCTGCAATGAGGTAGGGGTTCTAATTCGGAGGGGGGCGCTAAGGGAGCCCCTATGAAGCCCTTATACATATCCACACAGTCCTGACAACGAACCAGAGAGGAAGTACTATTGTGAACCTCATTTTTTTTTTTTTTGAGGCAGGGCATCGTGTAGCACACACTGGCCTCAAATTCACAATAGCTGAAGACACCCTTGAACTTCTGATCCTTCTGCCTCCACCTCCCAAGAGCTAAAATTGCAGGCATACATACCATGCTCAGTCTGTGGGGTGCTGGGAATAGAACCCACCACCTCTTCCATGCTAGATAAACCCTCTACCCACTGAGCTATATGCCCAGCTCTGTGAGGCCCATTTTACAGATGCAGAAATGGAGGCACAGAGAAGGGAAGCAAATTGCCTAAGGTCACTGAGCCAAGACCTCAGATGCTTGCTGTGATAACAAGTGGTTCTGTGTGGCCCCAAGATACTAAGGTTGGTATGTGTTACATAAGGAGGTCCATATCTTCCCTGTGGATCCTCCCCTAGACAGCACCACCCATAGCATCTAAGTGTTGTGATTTCAGCCTGGCTGGGTCATGTGGCTGGGGACAGTGTAGACTCTGCATCCAAGACTTTGTTCCTGGAGCCCGAAGCCTTCAAAAACCACCTCCTGCAGATGACCCACCCTCCGCTCTGCTTTATCAGAATACCCTAAGTAGTTACTTTCCTTCATGGTTCTGTGACAGATCATCCTAAGCCTCTCCCAGCTCTGACCCCTGTGAGTCTGTTACTCTTAACTGTTAATGAGGAAACAGGCACAGAGAGGTTTTATGGGGCTAACCTGGTTGCAAATTATGGGCCTGATGGTAAGCAAGTGGTGTGTCCCACCAACTGTGACCTCTTCTGTGTCACTGAGGATCAAGAGACAGCCTAGGGTGGCCCCTGCCTGAACAGGGATCAGGGGGTTGACAGCCATCAGAGCCACAGGACATGGTAGGGAGCCAGCTTCTATGATTCCAGAACTGGGCTGCGCAATAGTGGTCTAGCAGTGCAGTGGACTCCGTAAGAGGCTGTGGGTTGTATGAAGGTCTAGGGAGGGACAGGGACAGGCCTCCTGCCCTCTGTCTGGTGCCCCAAATGCAGGGCAGGGTTGAATGCTAGAGATCCAAGCTAACCCACTGTTCAGAGTGGTGTTGATCCTCACATGGGACAGACAGGCTTGCCCTTGTTCACTGTGCCCGAGGAACCTCTCCCCAAAGCTCATCCATGCCCTGTCCTTCCCTGGTATGTCTTCTCAGACCCTATGACTTGGGAGAGGTTATGACCTTCTTCTGCAGGGGATAGAGACTGAGAGATGGAGAGTGATGTGTGAGGTTGTGATGGCCTGTGGTTCAAACCTGAGTTCTCTAATGTGAGCCCATAGTTAGGGTACGTCCTCCCCACTCAGTTGACCCAATCTAGAAATGCCCAGAAGCTTGTCTCCTAGGTGATTCCAGACCCTGTCAAGTGACAGTCAAGACTAGCCATCACATGTGCACCACTGCACCCTGACAGCAGCACCCGTGTCCTCACCCACACCTGCATCTGTGTAAGCATTCCTGCACCCAGACATTCCTCCTTCCACCTTCCAGCCCGCCCCCCCACGCCCCCAGCTTCCTTACCCTAAACACAAGAAGACACGGGCCCTGTAGCCTCCATGTTAATCCAGGTTCACCATGTGACCTCAGACTCATTATCTTCTCTGGGCCTCAGTTTCCCCACCTATAAGCTAGGGATAAGGGTCTACCTCCCTAGGTGCTCATGGGTTCAGCTGAGGTAAGATTTGCTGAGCCTTCGCCAGCAGGTGACACAGTGGAGGCTCATGGCCCCAGCTCTTCTCCTCACGTCCTGGCCAGCCCATTCTTGGTGCAGACTCCCTCTTGCCTCTCATTTTGATCAGTGTTCATGACTCCCAAGAGCCTTGAGTCACCTGAGGAGGAAGTGGAGGTCCTGGATGCATGGAGTGGCGGGGACAGTGAGGTTGCTGTCCTGGGCTCCCAAGGCTTGCTCTCCGGGGTCTCTGTGTCTTGGCCTTCACCCCTAGAGAAGGATCCAGAATCTATTGTAACCCTGAAAGGGGTGGTAGGCTATGAGCCAGTTGCAGAAGGCTTCCCTGCATGTGGAGTGTGCCACCTGGCCCACAAGGTCACCCTGGCAGTTGTCCTTCCTTTCTGTGGGGTCTACACCCAGTAATTCAGCAACTGTCAATCAAAAGTGTGTGTGTGTGTGTGTGTGTGTGTGTGTGTGTGTGTGTTTGTGTGTGTGGTGATATATGGCTACATACATGCATGTCAAGTGCCCACACCTATGCATGCCCCCACAGGCTAAAGAAATGCATCAGGTCTCTTTGTCTATCACTCAATGACCCTGGAGCTCAGAGTTTTTCAGCTAGGCTGGCAGCCAGCATACCCAGTGGTCCTCTTGGCTCTGGCCCTTTAGTGCTGGGCATGCTTAAGACTCAGCTTGGATTTTATCCGGGTGCTGGGATCCAAACTCTGGTCCTTGTGCTTACACAGCAAGTGTCTTAACCACTGAGCCTGCTCTCTAACCCCCCCCAAATATTTATTAAATATTTTCTTTGTACTGGTGTGGACGTCTCCCTTGTCAGAGCCTTTCAAACAATGCTCTCTGTCAAGGATTTGCAGAGTGTTTCTGTTAGGTTGGCTATGCTACATAATTTAGAGGCGAGGCAAAGTAAGAAGACAGGCAGGTCCAAGCACTAGGGAGGTGGAGGCAGGAGGATGGAGAGTTTGAGGCCAGCCTGGGCTATGTATCTCATACAGAGAGTTTTTGTAAATGAGAGAGGATGAAGCAGAAGAGGGAGGAGATGTGAGAGAAAGAGAGAAAGAGGCTTTATTTTTCTTTTTCCATTTCCCTGTGTGTATATGCATATTTCAATGTGTATGAGTACATGTATGTGGATAAATGTGCTCACATGGGTGCACATGCATGTGGGGGCCCAGGTTTGATGTCTGGAATCATCCTCAACTGTTCTTCCACTTTATTCATTGAAGCAAGGTCTCTCAGTCAAACCCAGAGTTCACCGATATGGCTAGACTTTTGTTGGTTTTTGGTTTTTGGTTTGTTGTTGTTGTTGTGGTTTGAGACAGGGTCTCCTGTAGCCTCAGCTGGCCTGGAACTCACTATGTAGGCCAAACTGGCCTTTATTTTACAGAGATCTGTCTGCCTCTGCATCCAAGTGCTGGGATTAAAGGAGTAAACCAGCGTGTCCTCTCTTACTAGCCCATCTGCTCTGGCGAATTACAAGTGGGCTGCCACACCACCAGGCATTTACTTGAGTCCTGGGGATCTGAACTCTCATCCTCTGGTTTGCATACAAGCTCTTTAACCATGGAGCCATCTCCCCATCCTTGAGAGAGAGAGAGGTTTTTAACTTAAGCTTCCTTCCTTCCTAACTCCACGACTTTCTTCAAATATTTCAGAGTCTGTTTCCAAACTCACAGGCCCATGTATTATTTTGGCTGGTCTGTGGCACCATCCAGAATCTTCCTCAGGTCCACACA